AGGACACACCGGGGGCCGGGGTGGGGGGAGGGCACCACCTAAGCGCCCTTGGGTGTCCTGTTTCTCTCCCTGACCATCCTGTCCTGGAGCTCTGGGGCTGTGGCGTGCTGGTCGCAGGGTTGGCAGTCAGAGCAAGGCCCCTTAGTCTCTTGCCCTTGTGTGCAGGAGATGTCCTCCGAGTATCGGGAGTACGCTGACAGTTTTGGCAAGGTGAGTAGAGCCTGGCTGCAGAGGCCACTCTGGAAATGCAGATGACATGTGACTAGCCGCCACGCAGCACTCCCCGTCCACCCACCGTAGGCTCCCTTCCCGTGGGGAAAGGTTGACCCAGAGCTCTCTGCCCTCCTCCCTCTCTTTCCCCGTGCTGACCAGGTCCTGGCCACCAGGCTTGACCAGCTAGTGGATGCTGGGAGGGAGGACAGGCAAGAGGTGGCCAGTCCCAGCAGCCACTTCTTGGAGGAGGAGCAAGGACTGCCCACCTACAGGTGGCATCTAACCAAATGGCCTGGCCCTCTCTCCCTTTGTAGCCCCCTCACCCGACACCTGCCGGGGACACACTTTCCTCAGAAGTCTCCTCCCAGGTGACCAGATGGTGGCCTCAGGGTGCCGGGTCCCTCAGAGGGCTGTGTCTGCTGGCCACTGGGCTCTGCGCCTGCGCCTGGTGGTGTGTTGCCAGGCAGAGCTGGTGTTGACTGCAGTATCTTCTGTGGCCACCAGGTGGAGCCACAGTCCTGCTAGCTACAGTGGTCCTGCTTGACCTTACCATGGTGTGTCCCTGCCCTTGCCCAAGTACCTGCCTGGACATAGCCCCCAGCCGTGCTGCTGGGTTATTTGCAGTCTGGGGATGTGGGGAGTCCGGCCTCAAATGCCCTTTGCACCCACCACCCACACTTATGACGGGCACAGGGAGCCCTGAACTCCCAAGCCCTGGGCGGGGAGGGGTGCTGGGTAAGGGGCACACATGAATGCCTCTACCACTGACTGGTTCCTTCTCTTGGCTCATAGTGCCCTGGGGGGCAGAACCCCTGGACGGGGGTGTCCCAGTTTCTACAGACATCCCAGAAGATCATCCAGTTTGCTTCTGGGAAGGAACCCCAGCCTGGGGAGACAGTCATCTACGTGGCCGGTGCCTTTGACCTGTTCCGTATCCTCTTGGGGCCTCTGCTGCCCCACATTTATGCCACAGGGCGGGAACCCATAGACTCCAAGGTTCCGGGGTTGAGCTAGGTTGTAGGGGACATGGCCCTCGTCAGGGAAACTGGCAAGGAGTCCCTTGGGTACACGCTGTTGAGGACAAAGGACAGAGCCCCTCCCTAGCCCATTCCTGCTGCCTCCCCTGCCTCTGCCCCCCGGCCCCCAGATTGGGGTGGAACCCAGGGCTCTATCTAAGACAAGTGATCTACTGCTGAGCTACAACCCCAGGCCTTGCTTTTTTGAGACAGTTTTCCTGTGTAGGCCAGGCGGGTCTAGAACTTGCAATACTCCTGCCTCCACCTTGCAAGTACTGGGTTTACAGGAAAACACTGTCATACACAGCTAGTTACTGCTTCTTAACCCGGATGTAGACATCGGGCACGTGGACTTCCTAGAGGAGGTGTACAAGCTGGCCGCGAGGCCCTACATCATCGCCGGCCTCCACTTTGACCAGGTCTCTGCCTTTCAATTTGCCCGTTTCTCAGCACCCCATCAGCTGATGGGCCCAGGGGGCCTCAGGGGGCCTCGCTGGGGTCAGTGTTGGGCACAGGTAGCCTCCAAAGGAATGAGGCTCCAGGTGTCTAGTGGAGACAAGTGTGGTTCTCTTCTGGAGTCCAGGACAGCCCTGCCTCGGGTATTCCTGTGAGAGGGGGTAGCTCGGCCAGCTGGGAGGGAGGGCACCATTCATTAGCTGAGCCAAACTCCTGGCCCTAGGAAGTAAACCGATACAAGGGCAAGAACTACCCCATCATGAACCTGCATGAGCGGACTCTCAGTGTGCTGGCTTGCCGGGTGAGTGGTCTGAGAGCAGTGCTTCCCTGAGCCAGAGCAGGGCATCCGCCTGCCCAGTAAGAGGGGTGGAGGGTGGCTGGGCCCTATCGGTACAGTTTCTTTGCCCTGCTGAGGAGTCTGAGGATTCCTTTTGCCCCCTGGCCCCTGCTGGGCTGCCCTTCCCAGCTAGCTCCCCTAGGGCCTTTTCTGCTACTCTATAGCCCTGGCTTGCCAGAAATGAGGACTGAGTGAGTTCCTTTACTGGCTGTGTGTCTCTGCAGTACGTTTCAGAAGTGGTGATTGGGGCGCCATACTCGGTCACAGCGGAGCTCCTGGGTCACTTCAAGGTGAGGCTTCCCTCTGGCTGAGCAGAACATGACCCCAAGGTTCCTAGAGGCTCCTGTCTGGGTCAGCCAGGGCCAGTTTTCCTAGGCTAGCCCTAGGTGGTTGTCAGTGGTGGCATAGCATCTCTGAGGACGCCTCCTGACCCTGCTCCCTCCCCGCAGGTGGATCTCGTATGTCACGGGAAGACAGAAATTGTACCTGACAGGGATGGCTCTGACCCCTACCAGGTGGGTTGCCCTGGCCTAAGGAGGAACAACCACCCTTGCTGGCATTGGTCTCTCACGGGTGGAGGGGCACCCAGGGTGTCTTTGTAGCCAGGGGGGTTTCCACTTCCTCTTCTGTTTGCATTGAGTCCTTCAGGAGCCCAAGAAGAGAGGAATCTTCCGGCAGATTGACAGTGGCAGCGACCTCACCACAGACCTGATTGTGCAAAGGATCATCAAGAACAGGTGTGTTCCCCTCCCACGCTGGGTGGGTGGGCAGCTCCCAGGATTGGAGAGGCCCAGTTTATACGTGTCTGGCCCCAGGTTGGAGTATGAAGCGCGGAATCAGAAAAAGGAAGCCAAGGAATTGGCCTTTCTGGAGGCCATAAGGCAGCAGGAGGCACAGCCTGCAGGGGAGACTGCCTAGCTTCTGGCCTGGAAGATGTCACTGGTGCCCTTGCCCTGTGTCCACCTCTTATCTCCCCGCCCTGCTCTGCTGCCGTGTCTTGGTATCAGCACACACAACTCCAGAGGAAGCTGCCTTGCTGGAGGGCGAGCTGCCCAGAGAGGGTGGCTCTCACAGTGAAGCAGCCGAGTGGACAGGATAAGCAGAGGACGCCTGTGACTGGAGGAGTATTGCTATGTGTCCTTAGCATCCACAGTTCCAACTGCCACCGCCCCAGTCTCAGCTGGGACACCCCTCCTGCCTGACTGGAAGCTGCCTATCTGCCCACCTAGGTTGAGGTTGAGGGATGACTTCGGGGGACCTTTTGTCCTGGGTCACCCTGCAAGTGGGCACCCTCTACTTTGGGGCACGTTCTAGCACCCCATTCCTGATTCCTACAAGATGCACTTGCCCGGATGGCTGGGCCAGCTTGACTGTTCTCTGCACAGACTTCCTGGTCCTCATTTTGTACCTCAGTGGCTGCTGTAAATCTCTTTGGCGCAACTGAATAAAGGCCTAGTGGGAAGTGCTCTGTGGGCTCCGAGCCCTGCGAAGAAGTAGGAAACCCGTCCACAGCAAGAATCCTGTTAGAGAAGGGAGGAAGAGCCCAGGCCAGGAAGCTGGGCAGCTTGTTCACTTGCTCTTGGCTCTGCTGCAGACCACAGGGTGTAGATCTTGGCACCCTAGCAGGTCTGGTTGGAGCCCAGCAGTTGCTGAGGCTCCTATAGCTGCTGCCTCTTGGTGGTTGACTGTAGTGGAGACACTGCTCAATGATGAAGCAGGTTTCTGGGCTATCCCAGCTGCTGAAGTAGGTAGACCTGCCCTCTCTCCTCCCTCCCTGAGGCAGGAGAGCCCCGATCTGGAGGAGGGGCACACACGCCTCCACCATGGGCAGTGCTCAGCACTCCTTCCTTTCCACAACGCTGCTGCCTACTAGGACTGGGGTGGTGCCAACACTAGGATCCCTGGGCTGTGGAATACCCTGAGGAGGTCAAGGATGCCACCTGAGTGTTGCTACCTAGACCCAGGGGCTGGTCTCCAGAGGAACACCGCATAGACAGGCATGCTATGTGCCACCCGTGGCTCCTGAGTGAGGTGTGGCTGATGAGGACACCATGGAGAGAAAGATGCCCCACAGCCAGCTCAGAGCCTCTCAGACCAGGGCTTGGGTCCTGTAGGTGGCACCTGGTGTTTAATTGGGCAAGAGAGAAGCAGCTGGAGGCAGAAAGCAAGTCAGCTGCCCACTTGGCTTTGTGACCCAGTGCCTGGACTGTGTGAGGGGTGGACTGGGCAGGTCACTGGGCCTTATAGTCCTGGGGCTCTCGGGGCAGTGGGGGCTTGGGGAGGGTGGTTGGTCCAGGGCTGTGAGGCCTGAAAGCTTGTACCCAGCTTTGTGGCAGGTCTGATGGCTCCTGTGCAGTGTGGACCTGCAAACCTCCCTCGCTTGTCCTCTCTAATTTGCTGAACGCACAGTAGCTGTGTGCTTAGTGCTTCAGGGTCTTTGGGAGAGACTTCAAAGGGTGGAAGACAAGCAAGGTTAGGGTTGGGGACAGTAGGACCCCAGAAGCAGGAGTCAGCTGGGATGAGGCAGGACACAGCAGGGCTCGCTAAAAGAATCTATGAACTTGATGGGTGGACTGAAAGACTCGAGAGACAGGATGGAAGGGTCTGGGGGGCCTCTGGGGGTCTTAGATGGCCTGCTGGGAACTATCTAAGCCATGCCTGCTGCTTAAGTAGGGGTCACCTGTGCAGAGTCTGTGAGTTGGGGCTGGGGGCAGACTCTACCTGTTCTGACTTTGGGCAGGAGGGAAAGACCCTGCCTGGCCAGAGAAGGCGATGCTGTTGGGGAACCAAGCAGTGGCCAGGGCCTGTTGGTGGGCGGTTACCCTCACAGGCGCACTTGTCAGAGTCTGCTTTACAAACTCCTGCAGCCACCCTCAGCAGCGACGGGTTTGCTTCTTTGTTCATTTAGCTATTTGCTGTGGGGCATGGAAGGGTTAGGGGAAACAAGCACTAATTCACGTGACAGGGCCTGCACAGCTTCAAGCAAGATTGGGCGGGGGGGGGCGGCTCAGGCCTCCAGCATTCCGCCTCCCGGGCTGTTGAATTGCCGCTGGCAGCTCTGCAGGTTCGGGGTCTTTGACACACAGGGCCTGGGTGGGTGGTGGAGGCTGAGGTCCTGCTGCTATCCCACCAGCTCCCTCCACCCTCGGCCTGCTTGCACTCACAAGGCTCCTTAGGCTGGAGCACATCTCCAAGCGTAGGGGTCCTGTTCTGACTGGGAGTGCTGGGGACTGGACAGTAGCCCCGAGGCGCGGCCCACCGAGTAGTGGTGGGGTCCCACCGCAGGCTTGTACCATGCAAGGGCTGGCGGCAGGAGCAGCAAGGTCAGCGCCAGGGCAGCCAATACCAGGGTCCTACGGGCCATGGAGCTGTGCAACAGGAGCAGGGGGAATAGCTGAAGTGTGTGAACCAGGCTGGGCTTTTTATCTGCAATGGTCGCGGGGGCGGGGACAGAGTGGGGGGAGCAACAGGGAGGAGCGGCAGTGGGGTGCAGGAGGTGAGTGGATGACCAGTGGGACCTCCTACACCTTGGGACCAATCCCTCCCTCCCTGACATTGACTGCCCTCTTTTTTTAGATCCAAGTCTTATTGGCCAGAGGTATCAGTCCAAGGGTGGGATGTGGGACTGTTTTAGGATTACTAATGCTGTAATGAAACATAACCAAAAGCAACTTCAGGAGGAAAAGGTTTCGTTTGGTTTACATATCCGGAATCAAGTCTACTGTGAAAACTCAAGGCAGGAACTCAAACAGGGGGCCTGGAATCAGAAGCTGATGCAGAGGCCATGGAGGATGCTGCTTACTGGCTTGTTCCTCATGGCTTCCTCAGCCTGCTGTCTTATATAACCCAGGACCACCCACAATGGGCTGGGCACTCCCTGATCAATCACTAAGAAAATTTCCATTGGGTGCCGTGGCGGACACCTTTAATCCCAGCACTCAGGAGGCAGAGGCAGGTGTATCTCTGAGTTCGAGACCAGCCTGGTCTACAAAGTAAGTTCCAGGACAGCTAGGGTTGTTAAACAAGAAACCTGTAAGGGGGAGGGGGGTTGTTCCAGGCTAGAGATGGCTTGTTGCTTAAAGTGCACTGTCTGCTCTTCCAGAGGACCCAAGTACAATTCCCAGCAACCACATGGCAGCTCACAACTTTCTATAACTCTGTCTCTGCAGGCACTGGGGGAATGCATATGGTGCAGACATGCTTGCAGGTGAAATATTCACACACATAAAATAGAGATTATATATAATAAAAACAAAAAAAGATGCCCCTTTCGCTGCGGCCGGTTATGCGTGATGTCCTTCCTGTGTGGTCCCCGCGGGGGTGAGGGCTAGCACGCGGGCCAAGGCCTTGGGAAGCCGGGCTCGTTAGGCGGCGCCACGCCGGGGAACGCTTTCCTGCACAGTAACCAGGATTCATTGCTGTTCCCTAATGGAAGACGTGTTAAGGTAATTAAAGAAAAGTAATAGTGGCTGAGATCTTGTGGGCATCTTACAGGGGATCTTCACAGGAGTTGAGTGTCGTGGATTTTAATGCAGCACTGACCTTTATTTCTTAGTTCTTTCATGAGTTAAATAAAGTTTGGTTGGTGAGTAAAAAAAGAAAGAAAGAAAGATGGCCTACAGCCTAATCTTATGGAGGCATTTTCTCAGTTGAGGCTCCCTCCTCCCAGATGACCTTAGCTTATGTCAAGTTACCACAAAACTAGCCGGCCCAGAGACCACCTTGCTGCTGCTGCTTCTGGTCGTGTGCCAGTATCAACAATAGGGTCTCACTCTGTGGGCCTTGGACTTGGGAAAATAACTTTTGGGGGGGGGTTTACGAGACAGGGTTTCTCTGTATTGTTTTGGAGGCTGTCGGTCCGGCCCGGCCTCGAACTCACAGAGGTCTGCCTGCCTCTGCCTCCCGAGTGCTGGAATTAAAGGCATGCGCCGCCGCCGCCCGGCTGGGAAAATAACTCTTCCGCCATCTTCACAAATGCCTGGTTGGGCTATTTTGTTTCATGCTTACAGTGGAAGGCTCTGCTACAGGACTTGTCCTTTATGAGAAGCATCAAAATGTTCCAACGTTCAGAAAAACCTGAGCAGACAAACCCAGACCCCAAGTCTTGTCTGCCTGCTCTGCCCCAGGGTGTTGTAGCCCCAGGCCCCGCCCTGTCCACTTAGCACCTCTGTAGTTAGCTAGCAGTGGTCCAAACGCTAGACACAGGACAGTGCTGTGTGTGGGTCAGAACATGAATAGGACACAGTCCCTGACCAGGCAGGGCAGGCACAGGTGCAGCAAAGAAGGCACAGAGAAAGCCTACCTAGGTCAACAGCATAAGCTTCCTGCGTACGGGACCTTATGTTTCAGCCTGGGTAAGCGGTTCAGGGAGAGCACAAGCTGTAGTGATGGGACTCTATCAGGTGTCCTGATCTTTTTGGAAGAAACAGGCAGAGGAATAATGGAGAAGAAGAAAACTGGAGAAACCAGGGACCCCATATGCAGGGAGGGTATATGCCTAGGGTTAGTTACAGTTTTCTGGTCTCTAGAGAAACTGCGGAAGTGAGTTGGTTGGAGTCGACCCTGAGGACAGGACCAACTAAACCCCTGGGACGACAGATCACAAAGACCTCAGAGCTAAGGAATACAGTAAATCTGTGTAGCCATGGAGGACACTGAGGTGAGCCTGGGGAGATAAAGACCTCCGCTTCGGAGAGACTGACCCAGAGTGGTGAGTTCCCCACAGAAGGTTCCCAGCTAAAGCATGGACGGCACTCCAAGAGGACGAGCAGGCTGGGGATAGAAAAAACTAGCTACGGTGTACCAGACCTGTCATCCCAAGTTGCTCCAAAACCCACAAATCCTGGCCCCTCTCTGCAGCTCTTGGGTATCCGTAGGCTGAGCTACACCCCATCTCTGCTCCTGATAACTGATGCCAGTTCCTGGATAGCCAAGTGGTCAGGTAGGAGCGTCTCCCGGGCACCATACAGAGTGGTCAGGTAGGAGCGTCTCCCGGGCACCATACAGAGTGGACAGCAAACCTCATAGCCAGCACACGTGGAGCCCTGCCCGTTGGTCTACTCTCCAAGCTGTACGGCACATGTGTCTTGCAAACACGTTCACACTGGCAGCAGTAACTGAGTCTCAGATACTAGCCTAAACTGGTTTCCAACTAGGAGCTTCCAGACACCCTAGGGCTGGGGCTGTTGTTCCCCTAACGGCTGATAATCCATCCCTAAGACACCAGAGGACCCACATCCTCCTACACTAGGTCTGGCCTTCAGTCTGAGAAAGAGGTAAGGGACTCTGAGCTCTTGCTGCAGTCAGTAGTCTCCAAAGATCATCTGGACATCATCAGGGCCTGCCTCACTGTCTCTCCCTCCTCAAGGGTGGTTGCCGGCTTTGCTCAGCTAGGCATGGGGTCCCACCAGGTTAGGGCACCTGATGGGCACAAACCTACCCTAAGGTCTTTGCCCAGCTCCCCCAACCCCATCCCCACCCCCGCCTTAGTCACTTGTACTTTTCGTTTCTGAGTTGTGACTCAGGTTATCCTGAAGGCCTTGGCAGTAATTTCATCAAGATGTTTATTCATAAGTGTTTTTCACACCAAAACATGCTGCTGCCTTATCAATATGTCAAGAAAACAGGCAACCAGAGGCCTCCAACAAGGCTCAGAACTTTAATGAGTTTTACTTATTGAATAAAAGTGAAACGATGCGATGGAAGAAACAAAACAAAGCAAAACAAAAACCAAGTGAACCTTGCTTCAGCCCAAAGGAAAGCATCCTCTCCCCAGTATAGAACGAGGTCCCTGGGTGCCGCTGCTGTGAGGAGGGGTCTCAGGACGCCTGGCAAAGGGGCGGGGCGGGCAGTGCTGGCATGGCGGCGGCGGGGCTGGGCTGCGGTGGCGCGGGCCTCACTCTTTGAACTTCCACTCTTGGCGGCACATGGGGCAGTGCTGCTGCACTTGCTGCGCGTTCAGCCACTTGAGGATGCAGTGCATGTGGAAGCAGTGGGAGCACTGTCCCCACACCAGGGGGCAGTCGTCACCAGGCACCTTACCTGCGGAGGGGCCAGCGGGGAGGCGTGAGGAAGGGGAGCCAGGCAGGACAGGCTGAGCCTGGCTGGCATGCCTCCCACATCAGAGGAGACAAAAGGCAGGAGTGTGACCCAAATCGTCCCCAGGAATGGCCCGCTGCATAGAAGAGCTACAGTTACCCCCCCATCACCAAGTGCAGCGTTCTCAGAGAGGGGGAGGTCTGGCCTGGTCCTCTCGTTTCCAGGTTTCCAGCGCCTCCCTCACACCCTTCTGTGGAAAACTGACCTGTGATACCCAGAAGGCAGCAGTAAAATGGTCAAGGTGCCAAAGATTCACAACCTGAGCTGGGAACTCTGTGTCCCCATCAGAGGTGTCCTGGAGCCTGGAAAGCTCTCTCCCCTGGGCACCAGAGATCTACTGTGCTACAAGGGCCTGGGGGACACTGGTGTCCACAGGATACCTACTGATGGGACTTTATTATCAGCATGTGTTATTCTCTCTCTCTCTCTCTCTCTCTCCCTCCCTCCCTCCCTCCCTCCCTCTCTCTCTCTCTCTCTCTCTCTCGCCTGATTCCTCGACTCTCCTACCTCCATCCAGATCCAGGAGCACAGGCCGCGGACACCCACTCTACAAGCCTGGGAATGCTTCCTCCATGGAGAAAGCCCAACCAGAGGTGGACAACGTCCATCCGTATCAACATCAACACTAATCAGGGGCTACGAGGATGGCCCAGCAGTTAGAGCACTTGGTGACCCTGCCCCAAGCTCAGTTCCCGACTTCCACACAGACAGCTCACAGCCCTCTGTAACTCCAGTTTTGCATAACTGGGATATCCCAGCACATGTGAGACAGGATCAGGAGTATCAGGAAAGAATTCAAGGCAGTACTCAGGTAAAGGATTTTGAAGCCAACCTTGGATACAGGAGACATGAGACTGTTCAAAAACAAGGAAACAAACAAGTATCCCTGACTTCCTCAGCCTGGAAAACATCTACTTGAGAAGGGAGAGCACAGGGACACCTTTAGGTCCTACCCCACATCAGTATCAGCCTGATCCCAAGAAGCTGCACCCAATCCATCCTGGGTACCAGCCCGGTATCTGCCCTACTGAGCTGCCCTTCTTCCTTAGTCTTTTTTTTTTGCCTCTTTGTTTTGTTGATCAGCACAGGGTTTCTCTGTGTAGCCCCTCCTCTGCCTCTGCCTCCAGAGTGCTGGGATTAAAGGCCTTTGCACCACTGCTGGCTCCTAGCTTCAGCAGAACTCTGTTTGAAATATCACCCTTTTCCTATTAGACTTGGACCCAAGCTGCTCACCAACAAGGATGACTGAGCTGGCTCATCTGTGGGTAGTCAAGCAGAGGGAGAAAGGTGCTGTCTTGTTCTCAAGATGTCCCTCCAGGCAGCAAGCCTGAGTACCTGATGAGTTTGCTAGTGCACAGAGAATGATTCATCCAAGGGTTTGTTAGTGATGAAATTATTTTTTTTAATTAAAACACCTCTTGACGAGACTGCTTTACCTTAACGCCCCTTTGGGACCTGAAACAGATCTATTACAGGCCTTGCTTAACTTAATTTTCACAGGAGTTTAATCTGTGAGAAATGTGGTGCTTACAGAATCTATCAAGAAAACACACTGGACCTATCACACACTCAGCACATTAAAGTCAACTCCCTCTCATTTGAATGATCTATGAGCTGGACTAAGTCTCCCACTCTGTACAACCAACAGGCCCTGTTTTGAGAAAACCTGAGTCTTACCCCCAAAACACACACACACACACACACACACACACACACACACACACACACACACACACACACACACACACACACGACACTAAGTGCCTAGTCATGCTTTCTGGTCATCCTTTTTATCACAGACCTAGCTGGGGTAATCCAGACTGTGTTCTGTAGCCCTATGTAAGGGTCATTTATGCCCAGGTAAGAATGGGTAGCTCTGGGGACACTGGAGCCACCTTCAATATACAGATTCAACGTCCACCCTTTGCCTGAAGGTGGGAGTTGCTGTAAAACTTTCTGAAAGTTTTTACAAGTTAACAGTCAATGTTACAGAAGCTACAAACAAGTCCTTGTCCTCTGACTCCTATACTCTTTGTGGCTCTGTTAAATAAAGAGTTCTTCCAGGAGTGGTAAAAACACACCAAACTTGAGGTAATCTGGGTCCATTTAATAACAACAGACACCTGCAGCCCAGAAATGTGGGATAGAAAACCCAACAGCAGTCAGCAAAACAAAGGCAGAGGCAGGCGGATCTCTGTGAGTTCGAGGCCAGCATGGTCTACAGAGTGAGTTCCAGGACAGCTTCCAAAACAATACAGACAAACCCTGTCCTGTCTCAGAACCCCTCCCCCAAATATACACATGTTCTGTTCAAAATAAGTAAAAACCAGAACTGTGTGCTTAATTACTAATCACAAATGCTATAGATGAAAACTTAAACCAGAAAAATCAATGACTCTAAGAAACTCACATTCAATGGGCAGTAGTGGCACAGAACTTTAATCCTAACACTCAGGAGGAAGAGGCAGAAGGATCTCTTTGAGTTCCAGGCCAGCCTGGTCTACAGAGTTCCAGGACATGATCCAAAACTACACAGAGAAACACTGTCTTTAAAAAAAAAAAAAAAGAGACAACTCTCTGATTACATCAAGATAATTAACTCCTGGCTGATAACACCAGGTTAGGTGGGCCGGGCATTGGTGGCACACGTCTTTAATCCCAGCACTCGGGAGGCAGAGGCAGGCGGATCTCTGTGAGTTCGAGGCCAGCCTGGTCTACAAGATCGAGTTCCAGGACAGTCTCCAAAACAATACAGAGAAACCCTGTCTCGAAAAAATCAAAAAAACAAACAAACAAACAAAAGAAACCCCACCAGGTTAGGTGATCACAGTGTTGCTCGACTTTAATCCCAGCACTCTGGAGGCAGAGGCAGGCAGATCTCTTTGACCTTGAGACCAGACTGATTTATACATAGTGAGTTTCAACCTAGCCACGGTTACACACTGAGATCCTGTCTCAAAAAAAAGACAAGCATGTGGCCACTGGCAGTGTCCAAGATCTAACTCTAATGCACAAACTGACTTAGTGGAGCCCGTTCTATATGGAGAGACACCTTGACCAGCCTAGACACAGGGGTGTGGGGGTACAGAGGTGCCTTGGTCCTGCCTTACGGAGATGATAGGAGAGAATTAGTAGACTTCCTAAGGGAGGACTTACCCTCTCCATGGAGCACATTTGGGGGGGGGAGTGGGAGGAGCAGGAGAGAGGGGGAACTAGGATTGGAATGTAAAAAATAAATTAATAATTAAAAAAAAGACAAACCACAACTCTTTGATTACATTAAGATGATTAACTCTTGACTGGCAAACCAGGCTGGGAGATCACGTTAGCGCACACCTTTAATCCCAGCACTCTGCAGGCAGAGGCAGGCAGATCTGTTTGACCTTAACACCAAACTGATCTACATAGTGAGTTTCAAGCTAGCCAGGGTTACACACACTGAGATCCTTTCTCTAAATAAATAAACAAACAAACAAACAGATAGAATTGACTTTCATCTTAGTGTAATCACACATTTCTACTTCATATAAGATACCGGGGACACAGAAAAACACAAAGAAAGTGTAAGACCTTTTGCATTCTGCAAAACATTAAAATCATAAAGCTCAAATGCCTTGAAAACAGGAGTAAGGAAAAGCATTTTATCAAAGAGCTGAGGGTACCGAGATGTTGAGAATGGCTCAAGCCCAGTAACAAGACATTTGGGGAAAGATGCTGAACAAGGATGCCAGAACAGCTTGTGAGACACAGGCATCAATTTAAAGTTCACAACACCCAAGCACAAACGCCCAGCAAATATGACAATACGGGAACCGTTGTCTGAACTTCAATGTGCTGGGCAGGGGTATCCTAATTTGTTCTGCTTTGCCTGGAGAAAAATTCAAACTGGAAGCAGGATTTTTGAGAAGTTAAGAGAATGATAAATCATCACTATGTAGCCCAGGCAGGGTTCAAACTGAAGCTCCTTTCGCCTCTGTCTCCCAAGTGCTGGGAAACCCAAGGTTTTCAAAGCTGGTGGAGCAGGCCGAAGTTCTGAGGCGGGGGGGGGGGGACGGGGGGGGACGGGGGGGGACGGGGGGGGACTTACAGTCTGGACAGCAACCATTAAACGCCATCCTGCAGATGCCGCAGTTCTCATCGTTGGCTACCCAGAGCCAAGTGGCCACACCATTCCAGCATTTAATTTTCACCTTCATGGCAGCGAAGTCTGTGACCTGAGAGAAGAGGATTGCCCGGGTAAAGTTGGCCTGTAGTACTACCACAGACACTTGAGCACGGAAGTCCGGGAGCTGCGTGCTAGGCGCTTCAAGGGAGCCACGCCTCCAAGTTTGTTTTGCCTTGTTTAAGGATGTCTTTGGAGCCTGGCGTTGGTGGCGCATGGCAGAGGCAGGCGGATCTCTGTGAGTTCCAGGCCAGCCTGGTCTACAAGAGCGAGTTGTTCACCAGAACAACTTCCAAACCCACAAAGAAACCCTGTCTCGGAAAAAAAAAAAAAAAAAAGGATGTCTTCAGAGATCTGCACCCAGGTCCACACGCCTTTAATCCTCCCCCCTCACAAAAGGATGTAGAGATCCGCAGCCAGGTAGTGGCCACAAGCCTTAAATCCCAACACACGGGAGGCAGAGCCAGAAGTATCTAATTGAGTTGGAGGTCAGCCCAAAAAACAAAGCAACACAAAAAACACCTCTGCATCCATGAAACACACCTTGGTTTTCATTGATAACCAGCGCTTTGCTTTTAAATCTGAGAGGGAAAGCGCGACAAGCCATTGACGCGTCAAATCAACAGCTCGTTAAAAAGAAAAGAAAAAGAAAAAACAAAAAAAAACCAAAAAACTACGCCTTGGAGCAAACAAACCCCAAATCGGACCCAGAGATCAGCCCCCACCCTCGCACCTCAGGGACTCGGCCCGCGGACGGACCCGAACGCGACCTTGAGTCTTCCGGCCTCCGCGGGGGGAAGGGGGAAGGAGGAGGGAGAGGGAATCCCAGGCCCCGCCCACCCGTGGCCCTCGCACCTTCTCCACCTAATCACGAGGCGCCCCGCCCTTCCGTTGATGCCGCGCGGGAAGGTATAAAAACGACCGCGCCGCGTCGGGCGCCTCACAGACAGCGCCCGCGGTCCCCGAGAGCAGTACGCAGGCGCCCGCCCGCTCCCCGCGCGCACCGAGACCAATCAGGGGCGGCTTCGGGGGGGCCGCGGCACCGGAAGGCGAGGGGCAGCGCCGGAAGTGACCTAGCGACGTGCTGACGCGCGGGCTCGCTCTGAGGCCCGATTCCGCGCCCGCCATGGCCGACAAAATGGATATGTCTTTGGACGACATCATTAAGCTGAACCGGAGCCAGCGAGGCGGTCGCGGCGGAGGCCGGGGCCGCGGCAGGGCCGGCTCCCAGGGCGGCCGCGGCGGGGCCGTGCAGGCCGCCGCGCGGGTGAACCGAGGCGGCGGGCCTCTGAGGAACCGGCCCGCCATCTCTCGCGGCGCTGCAGGCGGCGGCAGGAACCGGCCGGCCCCCTACAGCAGGGTGAGTGCGGGGACGCGCGACGCCGGCGGGGGGCGAGGGGGAGGCCGGGCTCCCGGCAGTGCGGGGCGGGCGGGCGGGTGGGCGTCCTGCGACGCTCGCGGGAACCGGGGCGGAGGGGTGGGCGGGGGCGAGGCCGCGCGCCGTGAGGCCCGGCCCGGAGGCCGGGATCTTCCGGGACGGACGCTTTGTCCGGGTCGTGGTCCGGCCTCATGGCGGCGGCGGCCGAGGGTGTGCGGGGGAGTTGTGGCGGCGGCAGAGCCGCGGGCTTGGGGGTCGTGTCCCCGGCTCTTTTTTTTTTTTTCCGTCCGTGGCTGCGGGCCGACGTGAGAGAGGAGAGAGTAATCCGGTGAGGTTATCGAAGTGGGGGGGCGCCCGCCCGAGGCGAGGCTCGCTCACCGGTCTCTTCTTGTCCTTACGCTTTCTCCTTCAGCCGAAACAACTTCCCGACAAGTGGCAGCACGACCTCTTCGACAGCGGCTTCGGGGGTGGAGCCGGCGTGGAGACGGGTGGAAAGCTGTTGGTGTCAAACCTTGACTTCGGAGTGTCAGACGCGGATATTCAGGTAGGAGGCTGGAGCCGTCCGCATTACTTAAACCCCCCACGCAGAGGTGTGCTGCAAGAACCCCTTGCTGATCCGGGAGCCTGTGCTCTTCCCCTCGCTCCCAGGCTGCCCCAGGGCCAGAAAACAAGTAATATTATCTCCTGGGTTTGAATGGGGCTAGTAAGTCAGGCTGCTGCTGGGAAGGTAGCCTGGGGTGCCCCCAGAGGTGACTCTTGTCTGCTAACCATCTTGAGCACCTGCTGCCTTGCCAGGACTTGCAGTTTCTAACGGGCACGGGCTGGCCACAAAACGGGTCCCTGTGTGACCCAGGGTGCGTGCCCCTCAGGTCTTGTGCCTGTAGTAGTGAGTCTGTGAGAAGGAGAGTCTTTCCCCGGATGCCTGAAGGCACGGGATGAATGGTGGCTGTATGTCTTCCAGACTGACCTTTCCTGGGTCTTTATCAGGGGTTTTAAGTTCTCATACCTTTGGTTGAAGTCTGTCTCTCTCTCTCTCTCTCTCTCTCTCTCTCTCTCTCTCTCTGTCTCTCTCTCTCTCTCTCTTTCTCTCTCTCTCTCTCTCTCTCCTCCCCTTCTCTCTCCCACTCTCCTCCTCTCCCTCTCTCTTTTCTAGACCTCAAAGGCATTTAGAGTTAAGAAGCAGCTTTTTAGGAATTAGTTTTGGGTCGTGGGTGCTGGGCCTTTCTGGGTTCCCTCTCTCAGAGCCCAGCCATTTGGCCTTGCCACGGGAGGATAGAGCAAGGCCAGTGAGCACTCACAGTGTCTCAACACTTTTTTTAAGGTGGTTTCTGGCATCCACTGGAAACCGCTTTTGGTGAACTTCACTTCCCGCTGTGTGCCTGCAGCCGAAGTAGCCCCACACTCTGGGTTCCCTCTCCAACTCCCAGCCTGCCTGAGGTCAGGGCAGTCTCCATGGCGCATTTGACTTCAGACTTTGCAGCAGGCTTGAGTAGGAGGAGAGGGAAAGGTGAGCCAGAATCTGTCTTTGGGGGAGGGGCTGGGGTCACAGCTCCCCAAATCAGTGGGCCCTTTGAGCTATCTGCTCTATGAACAACTTCCCTTGTTTTTTTCGTGGCCTCTGCTATCTGACAAAGCAGCCGTTAGTCAGGTTGTAAGGCACTCCCTTGCTGAGAGAGAGCTTCTGAGTACTCTTTCACCTGCCTCATGCTACAGCCAGTGCACAAGTCCCAAAGGGATGGGAACTGGGTGCTCGTGACACCACACCCCTTCCCTCACCTCTTGATTGCCACTGCTCTGCCCCCTTCCTGGGTAGCAGTCAGTAAAGTACCTCCAAAGCTCCCACGAACCCTCGCAGCACAACTGTGACTGAGCCTGCTAACTGTTTCCCTGTCCACTCCCCAGGAGCTCTTCGCAGAGTTTGGAACATTGAAGAAAGCAGCTGTGCACTACGATCGCTCTGGACGAAGTTTAGGGACAGCAGATGTGCACTTTGAACGGAAAGCAGATGCCCTGAAGGCTATGAAACAGTACAATGGTGTCCCCTTAGATGGTGAGTATATGGGGCTGGGCCCAGGATGCCTGCGGGGCTTACGGAATTTGGGGCTGGCACCTCTCCCTGTAGGAATATGGGCTGCCCCTGTGGCTGAGGACACTTTGCATTTGCCCCTTTGTCTCTCTCTTCCATTCTGCCACCTCTCATGCTGCCCCACACATCTGGACCAACCTCTTGTGAACCCCCATCCAGCAAGCTACATCCCTCCCCTCCTTCAGCTCCTTCCGGAAGATTCACTTCTGTGAAGCCTTCTCAGAACCGCCATAGTACAACCTGAGTGCGGGGCTGTAGTCGTAAAGACAAAGGTACCTGTTCTTCTTCCGTCAGGTTACCCACACCTGTCCACCCATGAGCACCCTGGACACCTGACCAGACAGCCCTCTTAGCCTGAACTGAGAAGGAGTGAGGAGGTGTTGGTGGGGTATTATTGCCATTTTTATTTTCCCACCAGGCTCTCTAGGCCACGTACCTTGTTGGGGGCATTGGAGACACACAAAGGCCCTTTCCACAGCTTGCATGGAGACCAGGGTGTGGTGCCCTCTGGGTCAGCTTCAGAGCCTCTGGAATGAGACTCCTTGTGTTCTTTACCATAGGCCGCCCCATGAACATTCAGCTCGTCACGTCACAGATTGACACGCAAAGAAGACCTGCACAGAGGTAAGTTCTGGGGCCTGGGGGTGGGTGGGTTGTGATAATGCCACCCCAAGACCTTTGCAGATAGATCACAGCATTCTGTTTTTCTTTTTAGCATAAACAGAGGTGGCATGACAAGAAACCGTGGCTCTGGAAGTTTTGGTGGTGGTGGCACCCGGAGAGGGACCCGTGGAGGCAGCCGAGGAAGAGGTAGAGGAACCGGCAGGAACTCAAAGCAGCAGCTCTCTGCGGAGGAGTTGGATGCACAGCTGGATGCGTACAATGCACGGGTGAGTCCTCGGGCTCAGTCAGGGGGTGAGTGACAGTCGTGGTAACTCTTGGAGCCAGTAGCACAAGAGCCCTTCTTTAATTTATCTTCTCCCTCTCTTTCAGATGGACACCAGTTAAACAGCCGAGCAAATCCACAGAAGTAACAGGACCCAGAAGCCTCGTCCGTGATCCCTAGAGGGAGGGTTGGCAACTGGACTGTGCAGACAATGGTGGATTTGTTTTTTGTTTCTCTTTTTTTTTTTTTCCTGTTTTAAAATAGGATCTAAAAACTCATGTAAAGGCTTTTTTCTTTTTTTTTTTTAATTCTGAAACAGACCTGTTTTGTACCGAGTTATTTTTGGGATAAATTTTACTGGTTGCTGTTGTGGAGAAGGTGGCATTTTCACCTTTGCCATAATAAACTAGAATTGTGTGTAGAACTGGAGCTGTTAGAGTCTTTGTGTCGTAGCTGGGGACTGGCTGTGGCTAGTACCTGGTGGGGAATGGGACTCCATATGGGGCCTTCTGTCCCTTCCCTGCTATTCTAATACCTCACCCTAGCTTGATAGGTGGGAAGGTTCCAGTCAGCGTTGGCCTCCTACCTGGAGCTGCCTGTCCATTCACCTGCACCATGAGGTGATAAGGGGGTGTGGGGTAGTATGCTGCATGGTGTATAGAGATGGGACTCAAATTCTTGGGCTGCTCCTTTGCCTCATAGTGTGTCAGAAATCTGATTTTGGCTTTGAACCTCTATGTGTTTATTGTTTTTCTTTCTTGTTATATTGACAGGAAACAAAGACTAGGGTGCTTCCTTATTTGTCAGTCAATCCTTGGTATCTTTGGGTGATGCTAGTTGCAGGAACAAATCTGAGGATGCTCAAATAAGTCTCATGTAAAGTGGTATAGTGCTTGCTTAGAATCTATGCACATATCCTCGTAGGCTTTTTCAAGGCGCGTTGTGTTGTTTGGGGAGGGCAGACAAGGTTCAGATGTCTAGCACATGTGCAGTCTTGAGTTGGAATATGTTTGCTCCTGGCTGGCTCTGGAGACAGTTACCTGTGAAATAACCGATGGGAGCTGAGGCAGAAGCCAGTTTTCAAGAGGGCTGGGCTGCTTAACAGAGTTGGAAGCAGGATTTTGAATAGGGCTAAGAAATGGGAGCTCAAAACTTGTCCTTGTCTTTCTGCTGAAGACCAAGGGTAGGTGAATATGGTGGGGTAACAAGCCCCAGAAACTTTTTGAGACAGTTTCTTTGTGTAGCTCTGGATGTCCAGGAACTCACTCTGTAGACCAGGCTGTCCCGAAATCACAGAGATTGGCCTCCCTCTGCCTCTGCCTCTGCCTCCCAAACTGAAGCAATACTTTTAAGGTGCTGGAGCCTTTGCATCAGTGCTGAGACAGGACCTCTGAGAGTCATAGGATGAATTATACATCATGACTCCTAATGTATTTTGGTTTTGTCCAAATGCATGTACGCACTTACGTGAACAAGCATAGGTGTTCCTCAGGAGCTACCCACTTTGTTCTTTTGACAGCATCTCATTGGGACCTGGACTCCCAGTTAGGCTAGGTTGGCTAGCATCCTGTTTTTATCCAAAGTACTGAGGTTTGAGGTTGCAAGTTCATGCCACGACACCTTGTTTTTTAATCCTTTTCATTGTTTAGTCTGTATCTTGCAGCAGGGTCCTCGGGTAAATACTGTTTCACTCTTCCTCTTAGCAAACTAATACTTAATAGACAAAATAAAAATGAGAAATTGGAATATAGTGTAACAAATAAGAAAAGATGGAGTCGTGGAATGTTCCTGTCCCCTGCTGTGATCACAGTGTTTGTTAGGGACTTGGGCTATATGCCTTGGACTTTCTATTCATCTCCCCCTCCCCCCAGAATCTTAGAGGATATTTCTAAAAGCTATGCAATGAGCCTGGCAGTGGTGGAGCAAGGGCACAGAGGCAGGAGGATCTCTGTGACTTCAAGGCCAGCCCAGTCAGTCTACAGACCACTACACACTACACGAGAAACCTGTCTCAAAACACTCTAAAAAAAACTCAACACGTGTTTTTTTAGTGTTGTACTGTGCTTTTGATAGGTAGCCTAGGTTTTTTTCCTTTGGTTAAGACAGGGTTTCACTATTGTCATTATACTGTTCTGGAAGTTGGCCTCCTACTCCTGGGGTTGCTGGCACGTATCACCATAATCAACTTTGGAAAAACTTGTAAACTCTTACAAATAGTTGTAACATCTTAGTCTTTGGTTTCTAGAGACCAAGGCTTGCTGTGTAGCCCTGGCTGACCTGCTATGTGAGGTCTAAGCTGGCCTCTGTCTCAGTAGCTTACAGTTTTTCACTTTAGAAGTATTGAGTTGGTATTGATGTCCAGTGGAAAGAAGTTGATTTTGTTGCTGGGATCCCAGTTACTCAGGAGCCTGGTGTGGGAAGAACACTTGAATCCAGGAGTTCAAAACTAGTCTGGGCAATATAATATAGCAAGACCTTGTTTTGTTTTGTTTTGAAAATTGGATGAGATGAATGTCTGTATTCAAGTTGTACAAAAACCATAGTTTATCATACCTTGTCTCTTTATATTGCTTAGTGTTATTGCTATAGTTTAGATCTTGAGTGTCTGCCTAAGACCTGTATTTCGAAAGCTAGCCCACTAGCCCATGGTGCTAATAAGAGTGGGTAGAGCGGGACTTGGTGGCACAAACCTTTAATACCAGCACTAGGGAGGCAGAGGCAGGAGGATCTCTGTGAGTTCGAGGCCAGTCTGGTCTACAGAGTGAGTTCCAGGACAGTCTCTAAAGTAAGACAGAGAAACCCTGCCTCGAAAAAAACAAAAAAATGTGGTTAGAACTTTTAGGAGATTAGACCTTATGGAAAGTATTCGGTCATTGAAAAACCATGCTCTTGAAGGAGATACTAACATCTAGCCCTATCTCTATTAACTTTATTTACATATATTTATTGGGTGTGTGCACATACATTTACACGTGTTCTATGGCATATGTGTGGTCAGAGGTCTTCCACCTTGTGGGTTTTAGCAATCGAACTTCAGGCTTGTGACAAGCGTGTGCCAATTGAGCCATCTTGTTGATCCCTCTTTGCAAAGTTCCTGTAATGAACTCTGTGTGCTATGGACAGGACCAAAGGAACCTCCAATACAGCCACAAATAGTCTGTTGTTATTTAGAGGAATGATTGTTTTTGTGAGACAGTAACCCATGTAATTCGGGCTGGCCTTGAACTTGTCAACAATCCCCCTGCCTCAACCTTCTGAGTGTCAGGACTTGAGGCATGAGCTACCTTACGCTTACCCTGTAAAGTTGACAATCTCAGATATGTTTGTCATAGTAACGGAAAACTGATGAGAACAATTATAACATTAATGTGTGTGTGTGGTTGCGTGAATGTATGGTTGCATGTAAGACCGTGCACAGGTGTATGTCAGTGCCCATGCAACTTTTTTTTTCTCTCTCTCTCGAGACAGGGTTTCTCTGTGTAGTTTTGGAGGCTGTCCTGGCACCCGCTCTGTAGACCAGGCTGGCCTGGAACTCACAGAGATCCGCCTGCCTCTGCCTCCCAAGTGCTGGGATTAAAGGCGTGCGCCACCAACGCCCGGCGCCCATGCAACTTGTATGAATGCATGTGGGGGCCACAGTGTGACATCCAGGTGTGTGTCTGAACTCAGTTTGTGTATAGGAGCTCTTGGTGGCCAGAAGAGGGTGTCAGGGTTCCTGGGATTGCAGTTGGGTGCTTTGAGCAGCTGTGTGAGTGAGTGCTAAGGACTGAGTCCAGCACTCAGGAGGCAGAAGGAGGTAAAGCTCTATGATTTTTGATGCCAACCTAGTCTACATAGGCAGTTCTGGTCAGCCAAGCTGCATGTAAGATCCTGTTTCCAAAACCAGAAATGACCATGCCCTTTTTTTTTTTTTTTTTTTTTTTTTTTTGGTTTTTCGAGACAGGGTTTCTCTGGCTTTGGAGGCTGTCCTGGAACTCACTTTGTAGACCAGGCTGGCCTCGAACTCACAGAGATCCACCTGCCTCTGCCTCCCGAGTGCTGGGATTAAAGGCGTGCGCCACCAACGCCCGGCTACATGCCCATTTTTTTAAAAGATTTTAATTACGCCGGGCGTTGGTGGCTCACACCTTTAATCCCAGCACTCAGGAGGCAGAGGCAAGCAGATCTCCATGAGTTTGAAACCAGCCTGGTCTACCAAGCAAGTTCCAGGACAGGGTCCAAAACAATACATAGAAACCCTGTCTCGGAAAAAAAACAAACAGAAAAAAGATTTTAATTACACCTAGATGGGGGTGGTGTATGCACATACATGCAGGTGCCTGTGGAGGCCAGAAGAGGAACCAGAATTACAGGTAGCTGTGAGCTGCCATGTGGGTGCTGGGAACTGAACCTGAGTCTGTTTCAAGAGCATCAGGTGATGTTAACCACTGAACCATTTTTTTTTTCCAAGACAGGGTTTTTCTCTGTGTAGCTCTGGCTGTCCTGGAACTCATTTTGTAGACCAAGCTGGCTTTGAGCTCAGAGAGATCCACCTGCCTCTGCCTCCCAAGTGCCAGAATTAAAGGCACTTGCCAGCACTGCCAACCTTAAATTTTATTTTATTTTATGTGCATTGGTATTTTTCCTGCTTGTTTGTCTGTGTGAAGGTGGCAGATCCCCTGGAACTGGATTTACAAGCAGTTGTGAGCTGCCATGTGGGTGCTAGGAATTGAACCTGGGTCCTCTGGAAGAACAGCCAGAGCACTTAAATGCTGAGCCATCTTTCCAGCCCCCACCACTGAGCCATTTCTATAACCCCTATCTTTTTTTATTTTGAAACAGAATCTGACTATGTAGCCCTGGCAACCAGGAGTTCACAGAGATCCTCCTATCTCTGTCTCCTGAATGATAGAATTAAAAGGTATATATCACCCATGCCTGGCTTTTAACTTAAAGTTACACTTATTTGGAGGGAGATTGCACATGTACCACAGTATACGTGTGGGAGAAGACTTGGAGTTGCTTCTCTGTTTCTACCCTGTGGGAGCCAGGTTTGAATTCGGTGCTCCAGGTTTGGTGGCAAGTGCAATTACCTACGGAGCTATCTTTTGCATGAGTGCTGAGGTTCAGGGCCCTATGCTTGCATGGCCGCCAGCACTTCCCTGGCTTGGCCATCTATCTCCTAGCCTTTTTTTTTTTTTTGCATTGTGTGCGCTGGGGATCAAACCATGGCTCCACGCCCACAGGACAAACACTACCACTAAGCTTCATCCATAGCCCCTGTTTTTCTGTTCAAAACTTTAGAACTGATTGTGTGTGGGTGACTACGTGATATGTGTTTGTGTGTGGGCATGCACGCGCCACTGGGTGTGGGTGTGTGTGGAGGTCAGAGGACTCTGTGGGGTCACTGTCTCCTACATGTGGGACCCAGGAATCAAACTCAGG